CTCTTACATCGGTATTTCATTGATGACCTCGTCTTATACAACAATCTCTCATTCGCCATTTATTCGCTATTACCATATATCAGTTTCTCAGTAATTGTTCGTCGTACAAAACGTCAGCTGTCATTTCTGAGGTCTTTTAAGGTTCCCCATCGATCCCTCCTGATTAGTGGCCGGACATTGCTTAAAATGAGGTCACAGTCGCTTCCAGCCATGGCGTTCCCATTTCAGTGCATTGAACGATTTAGAGTGACTGGATAGCTAATTGGATTTATTGAACTCCTACAGATCCGTGACTAGAAGTAATTATGTATAACCTTTTCACTAATTCACACTCTTTGGAGTTCACTAGAGGGCACGCTTAAGTCTTCTCAGCTTGCTTTGTCTTCACCAGTCTTCTGGTAACGGCTTCCAACGGCAGACGTTCTTCCTCTGGGTTCCCCGAACTGTCCCCGACCTCATTTACCAGCATTTCCCAGCAGCAGCTCACAACGACTGAACACCCATAGTCCTCTAACTCACTTAGTAACCAATATTCTTCACTTCACTGACTGACTGACTGACTAACTCTTCAAAGTCAAAGTCAAAGTCACATTGCGACTGATGGTCAGTCAGTCAGTAAGTCTTGGTGTCGAGCCCCATCTGGGGCTCATGACCAGGTATTAATTATTACCGTTTCACAGTTACGGTCTTGTTTCGGTGGGGCGCCCTGTCTGACGAGAGGACGGGTCTGTCTTTTGTATATGCTGCTGGCCCTTGCCAGCGCATTCTTTCTCGGGTCCGAGTCCCTTGGGACTCGCGACCATATTTTACTCTCTCAGATTTGAGACTTCCCTTTTCGTCTCCTCCTACGACTCGCATGGTCACGGTGGAGGTATCGACACCGCCTCCACACGGGTGAGGACTCCACTGTCTTCTGACTAACTCTTCATTAACTGTTCCTCTTATAATATATCTGCACGGACCGCATAGAAAACACCGGTCCTCTGTCGCTGTTTATTGGCCGTTGTCTAGCAACGGGTCCACGTGCCGCAATATTATCCTATTATTCCGCGCCGTATAGTATAATTTAACAATACCGTCATTAATATACCATAAGTAAATAAATATTTTTTATATATGTATTGTACTTACAGATGTTTGTTCTTGCAGTTTATGTCTATCTTAATCTGTTAACTTATTTGTATATTATTTTAGCGTTAGGCATGTGTTCAAATAATAGACTTATTGTATCATTCACCGAAACATTGGTTGCTTTTATTGTTTTCATATTCTTGGGTAGGACATCGTTCTGACCCACGTTCTTACGGAAAATTCAGTATGTTTCAGGCACAACTATGCACGTCTAGCTTTGGAGGATGAAACTGAGGGACGAAAGATTTTTCCCAGTATTGCATAATATTTCCAATGCTCTGCTTTGCGAACTCCCTTAGTTATATCGCATTTTAGGCAATGCATCAAACGTTAACTTCGTTTTATGGAGATCAGTTTCACATATATCACTGCAACAGAATTCGGCTGTCGCATTTATTTACACGTATATTGATATTTACTGAGGGTCATGTATTTTCTGTCATGACGAAATTCGCCTGATTCGGGTCAGTGTTTGCTGATGATGCCGTTGGCGGCACGTGGAAATGAACCTGTATTACTCGTTGGTTATTAACTACACTTAATCAGCTTCCGAGTTTATGTAACTTCGAAAGACAAAGAGAAGATATAATAAAGATGAAACAAATAACCAAGTGAGAAACAAACCGAAGAAAGAAAGGAAAAACAAAAGGGAGCGAACGATAGGAAGAAATGAAGAGGGACGAATGGATGGATGAGCTACACAACACATGATAATATGATACGGCAGGAGACTGCGAGAATCTGACTAACATATTTATATGAAATATAAAACTGGTTGAATACATTCAGAGCACAGGAGTTCTTATAATTCTTGGGGCTTCCTGCCTTGTATGTGGAGACAAAGTCAAGACAAAAGTATCGAGCCTATTTTGTGCACCTTTTTCGGAAAGGGTGTTCCTTTTTTTTGGCTATTTCTTTTCACATCGAACATTGGAGATTGAAGTGTATGTGACTGGCCGGATTGGGAGGGGATAGCCACTAACGATAAAAGAGAAATCCAAATTAATTAAGGCGACATATACATGAGGGAGAACAACTGGCCAGTGGTATCAGTTACATGAAACGGCCATTAAAATAGAACACTGCGTGCCCACTACCAGGATGTCCCGGGGACTGCATGAGGCGCACACACTCTCTATGCACGTGAGCTGCTGGACTATTACACCACCACTATTACAATCGACGGGTTCGAATCCCGCTCGGAGCCATGTATGCCATTTCCGCACGAAGTGAATATAGGAGCGTGTAATGAGGAGGTTATGTCTGTCTCTGCATGTTTGCTCTCCAGAATTACACGAGGAGTATCCAATAAAATTGGTGCTCAGATTCAAATGTAAATTTGTTCGATCAGTTCAATATGATATAAGTATCGGATTTTTAAGGTAGTGGCCTTCAAGGTTATGACAACGTGTGTGTATGTGCAAAAAGATATTGACTGACCCGTCCATTTCTTCCCACTGGCTATGACCCCCTTTTTCTTCGGTTCCATGATCATCCTTCTTGTAAGTTCTTAATACAACCCAGTCACTCATCTATTTACTTCAACCCTGATGATGGAGTCAGCGTTTTCCACCAAAAACGTCGATATCCGCCCAGAAAGCTACAAGATGTCAAGATTATAAGACCTCACTATCTGAATTCCATATGTCACATATTTTTGTAATGGATTCTGAATTGATAAATCGGTATAAGCTACGGACATGAAGGCCGGGGCTCAATTCTCGGCAAGGGATGGAGACTTATCTCTACGCCAGTGTCTAGACCGGTTCTGGGGTCTACTGAGCCTACAGTCCAGTGGGTGCCGGGGGTCTATTTGTCCGGGAGTGAAGCGGTCGCGAAGTCGAGAATGATGGAAATATACCTCCACTCCGTAACATGTCTTCACTGCTTGATGGTTAATTAAACACAGGGACAACTTTACATTATCTTTACTTTTATATATTTGTATAATGCAACCTGTGCTTCAAAACTTGCTCAGATTGGACATAAACTCGAAATTATTAAAAATATTAAAGCATTCAAGGTGGGCATACGAAATAAAAAGAAATGGAACTTGTGGTGGTAATATCTAGAAATTTTATATTAAACATTTTTCGATACAATATACATATTTAACGAATTTCAGTGGATGTATTTCTGGTACTTGTGCTTTGATGTTCGCAGTACAATTAACTTTTCAGCAGTATACTTGTAAAGAGTCCTTTTTTCTGGGATGAAAACAGTGTACTTCCAGGATAAACCATCTGACGTTTCGGAAGAATATTGTAACGGATATGATCAACGCGTTGCCAAGCAATAGTTCTGCAAACGCGGTCCAACACGCAACAATAGAGGAAGCTGTGTTTTATGCAGATCCGACCTACGTGCCAGTAGACTGTCTGGATAACGATCACGTGATATGTGTTTACTGTAGGTTCATGTCCTTTCAGCTGCTAAATAAGTAAGAGTAACAGAATTCGTTCTGGGCAGTTACGAATGGCAATAGTGGCAGAATAAGAGTCCAGTGTTTAAGTGACAGTGAGAGAGTTTTATGTGAAGTTCCGTTCAAGTGAGTTCTCGGTGGAAGATAGCCAGGAACAGTTCGTGAAAACTTCGTATGTGATTAGAAGACCTTATAAGTAAAGTAAAGTAAAGCTGTCCCTGTACCAGGCCGTGAAGGCCCATAGGGTTGTGAGACGTTGAGGGTCCCACATTATCTAGACAGTCGGCTCAAAGATGGCGGTAAGGTTGTCAGCCTTACGCGCCGGCCGCGCTTTACTCCCCCCCAAAATTATTTAATTAATTCCTGGTACTCATTTCTGTTAGAGGCTGAGTCGACCCCAGAACCATAGTGCGCCTAGAAGGGTTAGGTCACTTGAAAAAAATCCAATTACCTCATCGGGACTTGAACTCAGTTTGTCCTCTTAGAAAGACCTAGTCCAGTGGTTGAGATTAGCTCTTTCTAAGGGACCCAACTGAGTAGGTGTCTTCGCCCGTTCAACTGAGGACAGAAGCAGATCCATTTTCCGAAACGTCGTGTTTTCTATTTTCTAGAATACCGGACGATGGAAAAGTCCCAACACCCAGTAATTCTGTATGAAATTTTCAGATTCTGTATAACATCAGAAGCGGGTCATTCTTATGTTTTTTTCTGTGGCGCTACAGCCCCAATTTGGGCCTAGGCCTACCTCCATGAAACTCTCCGTTTTACTTCGGTTTACTAGATCTTACACATTCGGTAGGACTCCTTGAGCGGGTGATCAGCTCGTCGCAAGGCCTCTACCTGTAGACAAACACAGCAAACGCACACAAACATCCATACCCTGAGTGGGATTCGAACCCACGATCTCGGTTTCCGAGCGAGCGAAGACAGTGCATGCCTTAGACCGCTAGCCTACCGTGACCGGCCATTGTTATGTTACCTTGCCCTTATATGCCTGCAAACTGTGAACTCATTTGTTTCGCTAAAGACCCGTGGTCTTCAGACTCAGCTGAATAATTATTACCTTCCGGCTTGTAGCATGGTGCCTCAACCAACTACGATTCCGCGTGCCCCCCTGTATTACATGTATTTAAGTGTAATTAAGAGAGAGTGTTTAACCAATGCTAATAAATCCAAACGTCCGAAATAGAACCCGTCTTTCTCGCCACGCGTACCACCCTAAGACAGCCGGTCTTACCGTGAAGTTTAGCATAAGGCATGAAGTGGATTTGAGTATTAACCGCCTCACTTCTGCTAAGGATAAGAGTGCAGTGATTGCAGCTAATGTGAAAGTGTGGCCAGTATGGTTAGGTAATTCTTTCTTGTTCTTGTTCACAAGATCACGGACAGTACAAGGTTTTGTTACATCGGTGTATTCCAACTGAACGACTTGTCTTTCTGCACACAGACCTCAAATGACGGCAACACGACAACCAGCACGTTGTCACTCACGCCGAAGAAGGAGGACGCGGGGAAGTACCTGTCCTGCCAGGCCATGAACACCATCTTTCAGAAGGAAGGTCTAGAGGACGGATGGAAGTTGGAGATTTATTGTAAGTAGCCGAAACAAATTGTCAGTGTTAGAGTTTATCGAAATGTAACCTTTGAAGTCTCTTCACAGTCATCGCAATGATAGCGCATGTGTTCATCAATTTTAGACATTTTAGTTTCACAAATTGACGGAATTGATGCTGATTGTTGTGAGTGGGTTCTGGAATATTCGGCCGTGCTTCTTAGTTTCAATGTCGGATCAGATCGACAGGATGATCATGACTGTGAACAAGGCAAAAATATGAAAGTAGCTCACTCACACGGCAGTCTTGTATTCTTGAGGTAGCCGGTTTTAAACTTGATCGAAACACAACCCTTCTGAAGTTTTGTGGGTTCATTCAGCCCTTCCACCCAAATCCAGAATGATACCATATAATTGGCCACGACTTCTTCTTTCCGCACCTCTTCTAGTTCTTTATTGATTATCATCCAAGTATTTACTTTCTTGGTGTGTTACTTATAAAACAAACTCCTTGGCCTGTAGTCCGCAAGCGAACTATGCCGAACGAGTGACCTCCGCTTGTCGCCGAAGTGAGTGCCATATTTTGCGGATAGGCGGTGTCACGTGGTCAGCGCAACGGATCCCCACGGCCGTTAATCTCGGTTTTCTAGACCGAAGCCACCATTTCCTTGAAATAATGACGGTAAGATAAACCTCAGATAATATATATATATGGAAACTTATGACCAATTTGTGTTAAGTCTTCAAATTTCGGGACAGCGTATGCGAAAAAAATGCTAATTTCAGTAATATATTTCTTAATATCGCATTTGTTTCTATAATTAAAATCTGTATATCTGAATCTGATAATATAGGCAACGAAATTTTCACAAGTTTTCAGTATACTGGTCTTATGATACTAAATACATAGAAATTATGGAAGTTCCATCTACACAATTACAATATATAGTGGTATGTTGTATATTTATTTATTATTTCTACCTGTTTCTGCCATAGAGATCATCTTCAGGCACATTCATTATTGTTTTCTACGTGTTCGCCCATTTGTCAATATCTGCAAGTAAATTCGTGCAAAAATATGCTGTCTGTATTAGTTACAATGGAATGTACTGTCTTCGCTCGCTTGGAAACCGGGATCATGGGTTCGAATCCCACTCAGGGCATGGATGTTTAGTTTGTGTGTTTGCGTTTTTCTGTGTTTGTTTACAGGTAGAGGCCTTGCGACGAGCTGATCACCCGCCCAAGGAATCCTACCGAATGTGTAAAATCTAGAAAAACCGAAGTGAACGGAGAAGTTCATGGAGGTAGGCCTAGGCCCACTGGGGCTGTAGTGCTGATGAAAAAAAAATAGTTACAATATCTCGTTAAAACTGGGGTAAGAGAGATAGATATTGGATAAAATTGAGACTTACGAACTTGTGTCAGAAATTAAAAATTGTAAAACTAAATGTAGTAAGAAATATTAAAATTGCAATTTCGATTGACTCTAATAATTAAAATCTAGGCACTCAGACGTCTAAAGTTTTGAGGTTGACTGTTGTGTGTACTGTGGGTTGATTTTGTTTCTCAGGCGTGTGTACTGTAGTTGTATTGTAGGTATGAATGTGATCATTCCATTTTGTCAATGAAAAATCCGTCGAGTGTAACAATGTTTTTAGGTCACTTATTTATCTCACTTGCCTTACATGTTTCGGTTCAAGAAAAACCATCATCAGAGGCACGTATTACAAACACATGAAAACACTGGCGTTGTGTAATGTACACAGTATGTAAGCTGCGTGGACGCTGTTACAGGTGATAGTGTAACGGACCAAAGATGAAACAATTCAAAATATGATCATTCCATATTTTGTTGCGACGGGGGCTCTTCCTCGTATCCTGCATCGTGGTTTATTTTCCGGACTTTGTAGAGTTGGTATGCGCCCTACGTACCAAGAGCCTGGAGATGTGAGTTAGGGTTGAAATCTCGCGTGCCTTTCGTGGAGGTTTGTTTGGATCTGGAATTTTGCGTCGCGTATACTGTAACTGTTGTCGCTGTGGATATTTGTATACCACACAATCTTGCACATAATACACAATTTCAGGCAATTTCATTCATGAGCTTCTCGGTAGATATTATATAACACAATGTGGGCAATATATTTTTCGTAAGTTCTGTTATACAGGATGTAAAAATTTAGTGTATATTTATTGTGTGTAAATGTATAGTTAAGGATACGGGATAACGTAACCGGTAGAACGACTGGCTATGGGGCTGGGCGACCTAGGCGTCGGAGTTCAAGTCCCCGTAGGGTCAAGAATTTTCTCTTTTCCACGCCGTCCAGACCGACTCTGGGGTCCACCCAACCTCCTATCCAATGGGTACCGGACGTTCTTTCCCCGAGAGTAAAGCGACCGGGGCGTGAAGCTGACCACCCACCTTCAGCTAGTGCCGAGGTCAAGAAAAATGTGGATCTATACATCCACTACTACGTCTTCATGGCATAATGCTTATTTAGTTAAGTGTTTGGGGATCGCGCCGTGAAAACTGCAGAGAATTGAAGTGAAGTTAGATGCAGCCTTAAGAATGCGTTAATATGGAGGTGAGTGATTTTTCAAAATTCGTCCGCTCTACCCCTGAAGTCATTGTGTATGAGTCTGGATGCCCCCAGAACCAATGCATACGTGATGGTGAACAGAACAGTATAGTCCCTGTTCCTAATTCAGCACCGCTGCATGAAGACATGTGGGAGTGCAGATGTGTACGAATAATGTCGGTACTGGAGGGAGGCGAGTAGAGTCGCCTTTACGATACTGCCGCTTTACACTTAATCAACAGGACTCTGGTATCCACTGGAAATAAACTCACGAAGTAATTCGTGGCTTATATTTTACTTTCAGAAGAATACAAAAATTTAACATGGGATGGCGTTTAATTAATCCAATCACATAACTGACTACATGGCAATAAGCTACAAGTTTCCAAACCACGGACGTGAAATGCCTTTATTATATCAGAATTTACATATGCTCAATACAGTAGCCGTTTTCTACAAAGTGAACAAATTCTTGATAGTTCGATATTATTTCGAGATTTGTTTACCGTGATCGCAATAGCCAATCACTGACACTTCCCGAAGGAAAATTAATTAACTACACACCCTCACACCCAAATTTCTCAAGATTTATATTAATATTATCCTCTTGACCACTCCTAGAACTATTAAGTCGTCTGTTTTCTCAGATTTCCAGTGATGTTTTACTCATCTTCCTCTTTCATACGTACTACATGCATACCCCACATCATATTCTTTCATTTGTTCACTGTTAACATATTGGCGAAGAGCACATATTTTGAAGCTCATTATTATGCAGTTTCCTGTAACATATTCTTACTTCTTTCTCAGCTCCGAATATTGCCATCATAATTTTGTTCTCAAAAATCCCCAGTTCGTCCTTCGCATAGAGGTACTTTTCCTTGAGGTCCTTATTAATATCATTCTCACACTTTCATCTCATGATTCATAGCGGCTGATTTTCAGCTTATTTCCCAATTCAGAAGTATATATATATAAATGTAAATGTCTCGTTCCTTCCATCCGAATTACAAGTTGAGCCAAATAATAATTATATTAATTACTAGCTGTACCCGGCCACGCGTTGCTGTGGCAGATCGAGTGAATTCAAAAATTCTGTTGGATAATTAACCGCTTCATCTGCTTCCACAACAGAGTCGACGGACTTGTATGTGACTGCCTCGCATTGAATATTAGACTGAATGATATTGTTAAGTTCGTAGACGTCTTTGTTCTTGGCCGCAAGAATAGCTCGTTCACTCAGCCAATCGTGATTCTTATAATTGGTTTCAACATTGGGAAATACTCTTTCAACTAATTCTTCCTTTGTCGACACTAAATTGGAGAAGTTATGAGGCAATAAAATTCGTCCTGAGGTCAGATCAACCGGCACCTTCCCATTCCAAATTTCCAGCAATTGTTGCGAGAATATCTCAGCTGATGAATCGTTTTACAGCTGGACACGCATATTTGTAATTAATTTTAACGTCTTTACGTGTCGCCACAAAGTAGAGCATTTCAGGCAAGCATTTATTTCATCCGCTGGTGTCGATCAAGGAATTACAGGTAATGTTTGCCTGAAATCCCCTGCAAGCAATATTAATGCGTTCCCAAATGGTCTGATGTTTCCACGCAAATCTTGCAATGATCGATCAAGAGCCTCGAGTGATTTTTTGTGCGCCATTGTGCATTCATCCCAAACAATAAGTTTACATTTCTGCAATACCCTTCCCATGCCCGACCCTTTGGAAATGTTGCACGTGGGAGTTTCAATGAATTGCATGTTCAATGGCAATTTCAAAGCGGAATGAGCCAGAATCAATCTAATTAGGAACGTTTTACCAGTTCCTCCTGGCGCAACTAAGAAGAAGATTTCTGCAACCCCGTTATTGACAGTTTGCATGATTTTATCATATATGCCTTTTTGCTCAAGCGTTAGCTTAGGAATATTTTATTGCACATACGACAAAAGATCACCCGTGTTGTAATTTTGTTCACGACGCAATTCTACATTGAACGAAGCGGCAGCAGATCGATTCGGTGATGGCATTCCCAATTGATTGAGAACTTTGTTCGCGATTTCTAAGCACAAATCCTCAATCATTATCAACGCCTCATTGTAGATTTCTTCTGTGAAATCCATGTTCATATTGGAATTATCCTTGCGCATTCGAAGGAAAATATCTTCAGCCATGTGCTGCTTTNTTTTATTTGTATAGATTAAAGGCTCATCAGGGGGACAAAGTTGTATTCTGAATTCGGATATTAATTGCAGAATTTTAGATTCTGACAACGGAGGTTATGAAGAGTCATGTCTTATGGAAAATAACATCGTGTAGTCCGTTGAAAGTAAACCGATGTTTCAGAGGAACATGTCGCCCCATCTAGCGTGAAGCAGGTAGCAAGCAGAGCTAACTTGCTACTTAACTCTGGTTTCTTTCATGTCTATTCTTCAACCCTGAAAATGGAAGGGTCGCGTACCTCC